CAACCCCCGGGACACAGCAGCGTGGGGTGGGTTTGGACGTGGGGCTCTCTCCTCCGTCCTGGAGACCGAAGTCCGTTCCCATCCCCTTCAGGGAGGGAGGCCCCTGGCGCGCAGGACCCCGTTCCCACGTGAAGTCAGGCCCAGGGAGACCGTGAACATTTAGGAGCTGTTGTCTCCTACATTGACTGAGCGGGTGCTGCTCTGCCCTGTTTCCAAGCCCAGCCTCAGCCTTATGTGCTTCATCGATGGAGGGGGACCGAGGACGCCGGCGACAGGCAGTGGGAAACAGAGAAGTGCGGTAACTTGCCTGAGGACACACAGCGGGTCAGGGGACGGTACAGAGAGGGTGTGAGTTACATCACAGGGCAGGGGAGCCGTGACGAACCGTGTGTGTGTGTGTGTGTGTGTGTGTCTTGGACTAGAGTGGATACACTTTTCATCTTTAAAAAAAAAAAGATTTTTGTATTGTTGTCAGAGAGGAAGGGAGAGAGAGATAGAAACATCCATGATGAGAGAGAATCATGGATCGGCTGCCTCCTGCACGCCCCCCACTGTGGATGGAGCCTGCAACCCAGGCCTGTGCCCGGACTGGAATAGAACCCTGACCTCCTGGTTCATAGGTCGATGCTCAACCACTGAGCCACACCGGCCGGGCTCCCCTTTCATCTTAAGTAAACGGAGGTGCAGGCGGGCAGAGGGTCTGGCTGTTGCACGTGGGGAGCACTGTCCCGAGGGCTGTGGGGTCTGGGGTCGGCTGCAGCCACATAGTGTCCCCTGGAGACAGCCCCAGGGCGTCCACTCACCCCGAAGGGTTAAGGAGAGAGCGGTGCAGCGGCCTCCTGTGCCGGCCGGTGGGCGGGGCTCTCTCCCTTCGCACCCCTTTCTTGGGGCAAAGGGAGTTTGTGGCGTGTCCTGCCCCGTGCACTTGTTAATATTCACGGCGATCTGGGGGGTACAGATAAAAAGGCAGCGCCCGCCCCCCACGCATCTGTTGCCTCCGGCCCAGGGTCCTGCGGAGCGGACGGAGCTAGGACCCAGGAAGGACGGGGCAGCCGGGATATAAATAGAGGACAGACCAGAACAAAGTTTGAGGAGCAGCCTGACATCACTGCCTCCCTCCACCCCGGGAGCCGAGGACGAGGTCGGACCCGGAGGACCTGGCCGGCGAGTGGGGGACAAAGGTCCCGTGGTCCTCGGTCCCACCGTCGGGGAGGAGGGCCCGTCCGCTCAAACCTGGACGGAGGCATGAAGGCG